GATGATGAGGAGGGGGAAGAGAACTATGAAGAAGAAGAAGAAGAAGAAGATGGAGATGGGTGAACTTTGCCCTTGTTCTTTATCTTCATGGCGGCCACTTTTTTTCCTTTTTTTTTCAATTTCTTGAACAAAAAAAGAAATGGGTATTCGTATCTTTGCTTTTTGCCTTCTTCTGAGCTTCTGGAGAGAAATGGTGGGTTTGTAGAGAGAGAAAGAAGAGAGAGAGAGAGAAGGCTTTTTTATTTTGTTCGTTCGGATTTTTATTTACTTAGAAATTAAGGCAGAAAAGAGAGAGAGGCTTTTTTTTATAATATTTTCTGTGGCCTACACGCGCTTAACGGGAGCGCGTGTTTTACAAGTTCCGGTTGGAATTAATTGAACAAGAAAAAAGAGATCACACAGGTGGCGGACGGGGATTGGAGGAAGGGTTTTAATTATTTTTAAATGAATTTAAAGGAAAATTTCACTGTGAAAAAAAGCTGCTTTGCCTTCCACTTTTCTCTGCCACGGCTTTGGAGATTGTAATGTTAATGAAATTTAGTTTTGAACATAACATATAGTATTTTATTATTAGTTTACATTATGGCTGTAACAGATGCTTTTTTTAATACATTAATTTAATATATTTCAAAAATGTTCAGGGTTAGTTTTGCCTTTTGAACAAGTTTCGGTTTAAAACTTTAATACTACTAGTTATGGACGAGAAAAATCACTATTTTCTACCATTCGAATTCTTCAAAAGGGAAGATATATCTGGATGTCTTATGATTCAGGAGAAGATATCTTATATTCAAAAGGAGAATATATCCTGATTGCCTCGAATTCCACGATCCCTAGAGGGATCAGGATTCAACTTTTATAAATAGGGAAGTAAGTCAACTCCTAAGCGAGGACAAATCTCTACTCTATACTCACAACACTATATTTTATATTCAACTACTTCGATTCTGACTTAAGCATCAGAGCATGTGTGTCAAGAGCCACACCGATCTTTAATGCTATTTTGTTTTACAGGTTCGGCCTTTAGTGTTATTCTGTTTTGCAGGTCTCGTCGATCCCTCTTATTCTTGAAGATTGATGCGAATTTGGTGGAATCCCAAGGAGATCTGTGGGAACGACTAAGATCTAAAAGTCAAGACGATTGATGACGAATTGACCAAGAACTACTTAGAT